CACCCCCCAATCTCAGCTCCCTCCTGGAAAACCGGGACACTCCGGAATGCTGCTGGGATCCAGCGCCGCCTCCAACGCCGCCCCCCGGGATTGGGAATGTCGATGATCTCCCAGGATCCCATAAATCCGTAATTCCCGAAGGGACAAGCTGGACGTGCCCGAAGATCCGCAGGATGAGCCACATTCCCAAAAATTCCTGTTCTTGAGCCACATTCCCAATAATTCCCGTTCTTGAGCCACATTCCCAAAAATTCCCGTTCTTGAGCCAATTTCCCGATAATTCCCGTTTTTGAGCCACATTCCCGACAATTCCAGGTTTTTAGCCATGTTCCTGATAATTCCTATTTTTTTGAGCCACATTCCTGATAATTCCCATTTTTTTTGAGCCACATTCCCAATAATTCCCATTTCTGAGCCACATTCCTGATAATTCCCATTTTTTTGGGCCACATTCCTGAAAATTCCCATTTTTGAGCCACATTCCCCATAATTCCCGTTTTTTTTGAGCCACATTCCTGATAATTCCCATTTTTGAGCCACATTCCTGATAATTCCCATTTTTTTTGAGCCACATTCCCGATAATTCCAATTTTTTTGAGCCACATTCCCCATAATTCCTAATTTTTTGAGCCACATTCTCAAGAATTCCCATTTTTTTGAGCCACATTCCCGATAATTCCCAGTTTTTTTGAGCCACATTCCTGATAATTCCCATTTTTGAGCCACATTCCTGATAATTCCCATTTTTTTGAGCCACATTCCCAACAATTCCCATTTTTCTGCTCCCCTGGCACAGAGAGAAGGAATCACCCTCTGGAAGCAGGCAGGGAAAAGCCGGTTTTCCCTGCCGAACGGGACACGGGATGGGAATTGCGTCCCACCTGGGCGTGGCTGCGTCCCACCTGGATCTGGGAATCCGGGAAATTCTGGATCTGCCGGAAAACCCCGCGAGGAGCAGCTGGGAAGGACCAGCCACGGAAAATCCAAAGGATCCGGGTGTTTCTCCCAAGGCTATGGATGCGCCGAGGTGGCCGGATTCCCTTTGGAAAATCCGATCCCATCCCGGCTCCTTCCTCTCCATCCAGGAATCTCCGGATGCCGGACGATTCCTTCGGGAGGATCCCAGTTTTTGGGATGCTGCTCTCAGGGAGCTTTTCCAGGCTTTAGGAACCCCTTGGGATCACGGGATTTTCCTCGAGGTGATCCCGAATCCTGTTCCCGCTCCTGGGGGATTTTCCGGGCGGCTCCAAGGGGCACCGTTCCCGCTGCTCCGGGTTTCTCCGGGAGCTGGGATGGGGCAGCTCCTCCAGGGCGTTCCGACCCCATCGATCCCACCTGGGGCAGCTCCCGAGCCCGGATCGCTCCTGGGATCACTCCTGGGATCGATGGGATCGCTCCTGGATTATTGGGATCATTCTTGGGATCACTGGGATGGCTCCTGGATTATTTCGATCGCTCCTGGGATTGCTGGAATCGCTCCTGGGATCACTCCTGGGATCACTGGGATCGTTCCTGGATTATTGGGATTGCACCTGGGATCACTGGGATCACTCCTGGATTATTTGGATAATTCCTGGGATCACTCCTGGATTATTTGGATCACTCCTGGGATTGCTGGAATCACTCCTGGGATCGCTCCTGGGATCGTTCCTGGATTATTTAGATCACTCCTGGGATCACTGGGATCATTCCTGGATTATTTGGATAATTCCTGGGATCACTCCTGGATTACTTGGATCGCTCTTGGGATTGCTGGGATCATTCCTGGGATTGCTGGGATCACTTCTGGGTTATTGGTATCGCTCCTGGGATCACTGGAATCACTCCTGAGATCACTGGGATTGTTCCTGGGATCCCTGGGATCCCTGGGATCATTCCTGGATTATTTGGGATCACTCCTGGATTATTTGGATCACTCCTGGGATTGCTGGAATCACTCCTGGGATCGCTCCTGGGATCGTTCCTGGATTATTTAGATCACTCCTGGGATTGCTGGGATCGCTCCTGGGATCACTGGGATCATTCCTGGATTATTTGGATAATTCCTGGGATCATTCCTGGATTATTTGTATCACTCCTGGATTATTTGGATCGCTCCTGGGATTGCTGGAATCACTCCTGGGATCACTGGGATTGTTCCTGGGATTATCTGGATAATTCCTGGGATCACTGGGATCACTGGGATCACCCCTGGATTATTTGGATCATTCTTGGGATTGCTGGGATCGCTCCTGGATTCACTCGGATCGTTCCTGGATTATTTTGATCTCTCCTGGGATCACTGGGATCATTCCTGGTATTGTTTGGATCGTTCCTGGGATCACTGGGATCATTTCTAGGATCACTGTGATTGCTCCTGGTATTTTTTGGATCGTTCCCCGTTCCTTGCCAACGCTCCCGTGCTGCTGTTCCGTGGTGGCCCAGAAATCCTTGGAATTGTCTCCCGCAATTCCCATCGCAGCTTCCAAAGGAGCCCTTTCCTCCCCCACCTTGGACCTTCTCCCAGCCTTCCCATGGATCTTCTTCCATATCTTCTCCCAACCTTCCCATGGATCTTCCCATGGATCTTCCCATGGATCTTCCCATGGATTTTTCATCCAACCTTCCCATGGATCTTCCCATGGATCTTCGCGATCTTCCCATGGATTTTTCATCCAGCCTTCCCATGGATCTTCCCATGGATCTTCCTGATCTTCCCATGGATTTTTCATCCAGCCTTCCGATGGATCTTCCTGATCTTCCCATGGATCTTCCCATGGATTTTTCATCCAGCCTTCCCATGGATCTTCCCGATCTTCCCATGGATCTTCCCAATCTTCCCATGGATCTTCCTGATCTTCCCATGGATCTTTCATCCAACCTTCCCATGGATCCTCCTGATCTTCCCATGGATCTTCCCAATCTTGCCACGGATCTTCTTCCAATCTCCTCCCAACCTTCCCATGGATCTTCCCATGGATCTTCCCGATCTTCCCATGGATCGTTCATCAAACCTTCCCATGGATCTTCCTGATCTTCCCATGGATTTTTCATCCAGCCTTCCCATGGATCTTCCCGACCTTCCCATGGATCTTCCCGATCTTCCCATGGATCGTTCATCCAGCCTTCCCATGAATCTTCCCAATCTTCCTCTGGACATTTTCCTGAACTTCTCATGGATCTTCCCCTGACCTTCCACAGATCTTTTCCACTTTTTTCCCAACTTTCCAATGGTGCTTTTCCCAACCTTCCCAAGGAGCTTCCTCAGAATCTTCCTTCCAATGGATCCGATGGATTATCCGTCCTTTCTGTGGACCTTCCACCAATGCTGATCCCAAATGTGATCTTAACCCCAATCCTAATCCTGATCCCAATCGCGATCCTAATCCCGATCCTAATCCTGATCCTAAACCTGATCCTGACCCTGATCCCAACCCTGATCCTAATCCCAATCCTAACCCTGATCCTAATCCTGATCCCAAACATAACCCTAACCCTGATCCTGATCCTGATTCTGACCCTGATCCCAACCTTGATCTCAACCCCGATCCCGACCCTGATCCTCATCCCAACTCTGATCCTGACCCTGATCCCAGCCCTAACCTTGATCCTGATCCTAATCCTGATCCCAAACATAACCCTAACCCTGATCCTGATTCTGACCCTGATCCAAATCCTGATCCTGATCTGGATCCCAATCCCAATCCTAATTCTGATCCTGACCCCAGTCCCAACCCTGGTCCTGATCCTGATCTGGATCCCGATCCCAATCCTAACTCTGATCCTGACCCCAATCCCGACCCTGATCCTGATCCTCACCCTAACCCTGCCCCTGGCTTTTCCTGGGAATTGGACAGGGATAATGGGAACTGGACAGGGATACTGGGAGCTGGACAGGGATACTGGGAGCTGGACAAGAATACTGGGAACTGGACAGGAATACTGGGAGCTGGACAGGAATACTGGGAGCTGGATATGGATACTGGGAACTGGACAGGGATACTGGGCTAGGATCAAACACTGTCCGAAGTTTTCCTGATCCCAGTCACTCTGGGGGTTGGGATGTGGCCATGGCAAAGGATCTGGGATCAGGTGTGGGAGCAGGAGACAGAATTCCTGCTGCCCTGAACCCGGCAGCTGTGATAGGAGCCTTGGGATGAACCTCGGGATGAGCCCTGGGATGAACCTTGGGAAGAACCTCAGGAGGAACCACAGGACAAACCTTGGGATGAAGCTTGGGAGGAACCTCAGAATGAACCTTGGGATGAGCCCTGGGATGAGCCCTGGGAGGAACCTTGGGATGAGCCCTGGGATGAACCTCAGGATGAGCTCTGGGATGAACCTTGGGAAGAACCTCAGGAGGAACCTCGGGATGAACCTCAGAATGAACCTCGGGATGAGCCCTGGGAGGAACCTCGGGATGAGCTCTGGGAAGAACCTTGGGAGGAACCTTGGGATGAGCCCTGGGATGAACCTCGGGATGAGCTCTGGGAAGAACCTTGGGAGGAACCACAGGACAAACCTTGGGATGAACCTTGGGAGGAACCTCAGGATGAACCTTGGGAAGAACCTCAGAATGAACCTTGGGATGAGCCCTGGGATGAACCTGGGGATGAGCTCTGGGAAGAACCTTGGGAGGAACCTTGGGAGGAACCTCAGGATGAAGCTCGGGATGAAGCTCGGGATGAACCCTGGGATGAGCCCTGGGATGAACCCTGGGAGAAAGCTTGGGAGGAGCCTTGGGAGGAACCTTGGGATGAACCTCGGGATGAGCCTTGGGATAAACCCCAGGCAGAACCTCGGGATGAGCCCGGGATAACTCCCAGAACTATCCATTGGATGATCCAAGAGCCCCTGGTGCCAACACAGGGGACGGACACCCCCCGGCGTCCCCCAAATATCCCAAATTTCCGTGACACCGGTGCCAGCACCGAGGGAACGAATCCACGGCTGGATCTGATGGGATCAGCTCCCCACGGCCTCCGGAACGACCCCGCTCCGGGTGTTCCCGGAAAGTTCCGGAGCAGGCCGGAGGCTTCCGAGCATCCCACACCTCCAGCCCACCCGGGAGCAGAGCAAATCCCTGGGAACGCAGCCCCCGGCATTCCCGGAGCGTCGGGATCTGGCTCCGCTCTGCCGGGATGGGGCCGCGGCCTCGGGAATTCAGCACTTGGCAGAAAAGGACAAGGAAAAAAAACAAAAATCACCCCGGGAAGGGCTCCGGGAGCTGGGACACGGATGGAGCCGGAGCTCCGCACACGGAACAACGGGACACGAGGACGGGACACGGGGACAACACGGAGGAAGCACAACCAGGAGCACAGAGCCGGCCATGCACGCTGGGAAATTCCCAGGGGGAATTCTCCGGCCCTCCCAATCCCATGGATTTCCCTCCCCTCCCCACCCATCCAATCCCATGGATTCCCATGGATTCCCATGGATTCCCAGGGATTCCCCCACCCAATCCCATGGATTGCTCCTTCCGCTCCAAGGGAGCTTGAGCGGGAACAGCTTTTCCAGGGATCCTTCTGGCTCAGGAAGGGATTCCAGAAGCTCTGGAAGCCGCTGGGATATCCCGGAATCGCTGCTGGGAGAAGAGGGGGGGAATTCCCGGATCCCGATTTTCCTGCTGTGGGTCCCTTTCCCTGGGGGATTGGGATGCAGCAGGATCCCGGCAGCTCCCACCTCTGGCTCATGGAATTTTTGCTCCGGAGGGGGAGCTGGGACCCCTCCCCCACCCTGGGGAGTCACGGATGGATCCTGGAGCATCCATGGCCGCATCCGTGGATTACAGGGATGGGAATGGGGATGCTCCACCCCCATTCCCAATGTCCTTCCCAGGGTCTCCTCTGCCTTTCCTGGAGTCTCTTCCACCATTCCTGGGGTCCTTCCCACCTTTCCTGGGATCCTTTCCCACTTCCTTGTGTCTTTCCCACCCTTCCTGGGATCTTCTCCACCTTCCTCGGAATCTTTCCCACCTTTCCTGGGATCCTTTCCCACTCCCTGGGATCCTTTCCCACTTCCCGGTGTTTCTCCCACCCTTCCTGGGATCTTTCCTGGGATCTTCTCCCACTCCCTGGGATCCTTTCCCACCTTTCCTGGGATCCTTTTCCACTTCCCGGGATCCTTTTCCACTTCCTTGTGTCTCTCCCACCCTTCCTGGGATCTTTCCTGGGATCCTTTCCCACTTTTCCTGGGATCCCTTCCCACTTCCTGATGTCCTTCCCATCCTTCCTGGGATCTTTCCTGGGATCCTGTCGAACCTTTCCCGGGATCTTCTCCCACTCCCTGGGATCCTTTCCCACCTTTCCTGGGATCCTTTCCCACCTTTCCTGGGATCCCTTCCCACTTCCTGGTGTCTCTCCCACTCTTCGTTGGGTGTCTCCCACCTTTCCTGGGATCCTTTCCCACTTCCTGAGACCCTTTCCCACTCCCTGGGACCCTTTCCCACTTTTCCTGGGATCCTCTCCCACTTCCTTGTGTCTCTCCCACCCTTCCTGGGATCTTTCCTGGGACCCTTTCCCACTTTTCCTGGGATCCTCTCCCACTTCCCGGTGTCTCTCCCACCCTTCCCAGACCTCTCCGAGGTCTCACTCCCCAACTCCCCGGGATCCCGACGGGAATTTCCTCAGCAGGAACACCAGCAGGAAGAGCCACCACAGCACGGGGAAGAGGAGGAGGAGGAGGACAGGGCCATGCTCCCGAGGGACATCCCGGAGCCGGGAGTGGGGAAGAGAGACGGGCGAGGAATGGGAACATTCCCGGTGGGATGGAGCTATGGAATGGGAACGTGCTCACTTACACAACTCGCCCACCCTCCGGAGGCCAGAGGCGGATCTAGGACAGAGCAGCGGGACATGCACATGGAAGCAGGAAAAGAGGCAATGAGAGAAATGTTAGCTCCGGTCCGGGAAGCGCCACACGGAAAAGAAGCCACCGGACGTCGATCCCGAGGGATTCGCGGCCGGGAGAACCGCGGGAATCCGGCCTGGGGTTGTCCCGGTTGTTCCCTGAGTGGAGAGCCCCAGTTGGGTTTGAAATTCCAGGGGATGGGAATTGGGGGGAGAGGGGGGAAAAATTGGGATGGTTCCCGTGGGATGGGGGAGGGCGTGGCCGGCCGGGAATGGGGCGGTTGGAATTGCATGGATTCAGCCAAAGCCTGGAGGGTGGGACAGCGACAGAGCTGCTGGGAAAAGAGGGAAGGGAGGGATTTGGGAAAGGTTTTTGGGAAGGAGGGGAAATGGGAATTGCAGGGATGTAGGAAGGGGAAGGATTTGGGAAAGGAGCAAGGAAATGGGAATTGCAGGGATGTAGGAAGGGGAAGGATTTGGGAAAGGTGGAGGGATTTGGGAAAAGCAGGGATTTAGGAAAGGAGCAGGGAAATGGGAATTGCGGGGATGTAGGAAGGGGAAGGATTTGGGCAGGAACCAGGATTTGGGCAGGAACCAGGATTTGGGAAAGGCGAGGATTTGGGAAAGGTGGAGGGATTTGGGAAAAGCAGGGATTTGGGAAAGGAGCAGGGATTTGGGAAAGAGGAATTTGGGAAGGATCAGGGAATTGGGAAAGGAGCAGGGAAATGGGAATTGCAGGGATGTAGGAAGGGGAAAGATTTGGGGAGGAACAAGGATTTGGAGAAGGTGGGGATTTGGGAAAGGAGCAGGGATTTGGGAAAGAGGGATTTGGGAAAGGCCAGGATTTGGGAAAGAGCAGGGAAATGGGAAAGAGGAATTTGGGAAAGGCGGGGATTTGGGAAAGGAGGAGGGGAATGGGAAAGGAGCAGGAATTTTGGAAAGAGGAATTTGGGAAAGGCGGGGATTTGGGAAAGGCGGGGATTTGGGAAAGGTGAGGATTTGGGAAAGGCAGGATTTGGGAAAGGAGCAGGGAAATGGGAATTGCAGGGATGTAGGAAGGGGAAGGATTTGGGAAGGAGCAGGGATTTGGGAAAGGAGGAGGGAAATGGGAAAGGAGCAGGGATTTGGGAAAGAGGAATTTGGGAAGGAGCAGGGAATTGGGAAAGGCAGGGATTTGGGAAAAGCGGGGATTTGGGAAAGGCAGGGGCATCGGGAAGAGGGATTTGGGAAAGGCCAGGATTTGGGAAAGGAAGGAAACAACAAACGCATGAGAAAAATGCCCCACAGCCAAAACAACACCGAGCAGCCGACACAAAATTCCCAAGTTTTTCCA